TCATGTATCTATGATAAATCATTTTATAAACATTCTCTTTGAGATCAAAACACAATGTAGATTTCAATCCTTTTAACCATATACTTCCCCATTGTTCCATCTGTATATTACCGTATATACTCGAGTATAAGCCGAGGCGGCTTTTTTCAGCCCAAAAAGTGGGCTGAAAAGGTCGGCCTATACTCGAGTATATACGGTAATATACAGATGGAACAATGGGGAAGTATATGGTTAAAAGGATTGAAATCTACATTGTGTTTTGATCTCAAAGAGAATGTTTATAAAATGATTTATCATAGATACATGATGCCAGAGAAATTCCCTGAGAAGGTATAAAGTGATGTCAAACATATGTTGGAAATGCTCAAACTTTTTTTTTTAGGATTAGTGGATAAACAGTCACAAAAAATGGCATGGCAAATTATTACAATATATGATCACAGTACCGAGATTACAATATGCACAATGATTGAAAGATTACAATATGCGCAGTGATTGAAAGACCTATTATTGAGAAATGGTTAGTGAAGTTCACAGATGGATTAATTAATTTATTTGATTAGAGAAAAGACATTATTAGATTTATTGCTCATTGGAAGCCTCTTACGCACCTTTTGTGTAAAAATGAACAAAATGAATATGATAACAGTTTTGATGATTAAACAAGATAGATTATAGAAAGAAGAGCAATATGATGTAACCTTAGAGAGAAAGGTCAACATATTTCATACTTATAACTGCTATGACAAATATCAGAAGCCACTTATATTTTTACTTTCTTTCTTTTCTATTTTCTTGCATTTTATATTTTATTTTATTTATTTATTTCCCTTTTTTCTTTTATACTTTCTAAGTTTGAGTTAGCTTTTATCTTCTTGTTTAAAAGTTGGAATAGGTTAGATATATGAAAAAGAGAAAATAAAGTTTCCATAGCCCTTCTTAACCTATGAGGGATCCTAAAAGAATCATGCCTTGTAAATAAAGTTCAAAGCATCAGTGAATAGGAGATTGAATGGAGCACTTGTATTCTAGATATTACAATACAATTAGCAGCCTCAGCATGATACATCTTTGTGAATCTAAATTAATTTATTCATTTATCCATAATTTATAACCTACCTTCCACAATAATTAACAAGATCGCTTATAACCCCAAGCTAAAAGATAATAAAACAAAACTGCAAAAGGTATAAGTATATATATAAATGGATCAATTTAATTCTTTATAATTCTTCCAGTCTGCAAAAAGCAGCAAAGGTAAGTAGGTTTCCTTTCCCTGCACCATGACTTTTATCCAAATTCCATTTCCCTCTTTTACATCAGTTTTCAGGAGCAGTTTTATAACTGTCTCTCTTTTATAAAATGGAGATTTCTCAATTTTGAGAGTAACACTTATAAACACTCCCCCTTCCCGCCCAATGATGTATATACCATAAGGCAAGAGAAGCTGCTGGAGAAAGAAGCAAAGCAGTGACTATAAACACCCACCATTTCGCAAGCCACTTCCTCTGGGATATCTGTTTCCATATTGAAACTGAACTCTATTGCCTCATTGTCTTTGTGCTTTCCTTTCAGCTTCTTGGGATCTTCTACCCAAAGCCTCAAAGCCAAAGAGGAATGCAGCCCATCCTCCTCCTCCTCTGCCAGTTCCACCCTGAGTCCCGTGTCTTCCGCAAAGAAAGCATGGTTCAAGAGATCTTTGATGGAGAGCCTGAAATAGAATATATTTAACATGAGACAGTTATGAAAGATGACTGAATGTGCCTTTGGTATTATCCCAAACATGTATTACTGTAATTGCTGAGCATTTCTTTTCAAAATTATTATACTTTCTCTTTGGCAGACAGGATGCAAAGTAGGCCTTTTCTCCAGGAACAAGTAGGGAAAGCAAATCCCATTAGGATGAGATGGCTCCTCAGATACCCTGGACCCATGCTATACAAGGCTTTAAAGATTGAGACTTTGGATTGGACCCAGAAGCAACCAGCAACCAGTGCAACCTGTGTAATAGTGGTGTCGCATGTGCCACCCAATGGGCCTCCAAAAGTCTCTGTGCTGCATTTTGCACCGCTTATAGCTTCTGAATGCTCTTCAAGGATAGCTTATGTAGAGTGTGTTGCAGTACTCCAACCGAAAGATGATCAGAACACGAATAACTGCACATTCTCACAATGTGGGGCCTCACAATCCAGGAAAGAGTGCAACAGGCATACAACATGAAGTTGCAAAAGGCTCTCCTATGCTCAACTGTCACCTACTTGTAGAAAAAGAGTCACAAGTCTAGGGCAACCCCAGATTACATACCGGTCTGCCTGGGGTAGTGCAAACCCATCAAGAACTAAATATGATAATCCCCCAGATGCCAAGCACCCTTGAACCCACAGCCACTCCATTTTAATAGGCTGAAGGCCCCATCCAAACCCTCTACAGCCTCCAGATACTGCAAGGGGGCAGCCACAATACATGAAACGTGGGTCACCACAGATGAGGGATATGAAGTTGGATATCATCTTCATATTGATGATCCCCCTCCCTATGGTATTAGATTATCTTATGTAGGTGTTAAAAAGATGCAAAGAGAGCACCAAGCCCTATAGTACACTGCAAAGGAACAGTCATGGAATGGACATCTCATTCCCTATCAACACTGTTTGGAACCAACTTGAAGAAAGGAGCTGAACCAGCGTAATACTCCACTGCTCAGTCCGAGCTCCTGCAGCTGGCCCAAAAGGATACCACGATTGATGGTTTTGAAAGCTGCTGAATGATCGAGAAAAGCAAGGATGGATGCAGTAGCCCCATTCTGCTCCCCAACTACAACCCATGCCATCTCTGTCCCACAATCAAGCCTGAAACCTCACTTAAAGGGGTCCAGATAATCTGTTTCATCCAGGACTCTTTGAGACTGTAGCACAATCACTTTTTCCACCAACTTCCTAAAAAGGGGACAAGGGAAAGTAGATGGAAATTGTCCAAACAAGTGGGATCCAGTGAAGGTTTCTCAAGGTGGGAATAGATCAAAGTTCCCTTATATAGTACCAGGAACACCCCCTGCAGCAGTGATATATTAATTATTGCCTGGATCCACCTGCAAGTCACTCTTCTGAAGGCTTTTACCAACTAGGTTAGGTAAAGATCTAATAATTAATGGCACTAACAACCTCAAGGATTTTGTCCACTTCCTCATATCTAACAAGGTCAGATAACTGGATAAGTCTGTTCCCTGAGCATCTCTAATGGACTTGCTCCAACTGAGAATGAATTGATTTTATGCATCAGGTGCTCGACAAAGTCTGCCACATGGCCCTGTAAATGTCCATCCAAGCCCTTCTTCCTTAGGCAGTACCAGGTGACCTTAAACAGGGCTGCCAGGAAGCACTCTGTGGACAAATAATAGTGAAACAGCCATCCATCCAGGGGTTGGATTCTACCGATTTGGACCGGTTCGGGCGAACCTGTAGCTCTGAAGATTGGCTGGGAGTGAACCGGTTCGCTCCCATGAGCAACTGGGCCAGCCTGCCTGCCCCTGCACTTTACCTACCTTTATCTTCTCAGCTGAGTCACGTGGCAGAGTAGATTGCTGCGCCTCAGCTGTTTTCCTTCCCAAGCAGCAATCCGAAATGTAACTATTCTGTAAACTGCGCACACAAAGTGCACGCTCAGTGAATCGGTTGCTAAACTGGTAGGAACCCACTCTGCATCCATCCATTCTCCTCCTTCACCCATCCCTTATTCTATGATGTGTGAATTTCTGATCAAATATTAGTTCTTTTTTTTTTTTTGAGAAGGATCTGAAAAGCAATTAAGATATCATCCCCCTTAAAAACTTTGAGGCCCAGGATGGATAGTAAACCAGAAATTCCTGCAAAAGGAGAAACACATAATTCCACTGAATTTCTTTTCCTTTTGTAAAGATTTCGCTGAAGCTTCAGATATACTGAAGCTGAGCACAAGTACACGGACTTAGCTTTCAAAAACAGTGGATACTGTGGGATCATGGGTGTTTGGGAGTGTATAAATTTTTCAAATAAATGTTTCAAAAACATTTATTTTTCTACAAATGTGCCATCAGCATCTGGCCAAGTTGAAAGAGATTGACCATGAGTGAGGCTAGGGAGAGGCATGAGAAGTGAGATCAAGTTACTGAGGGGGAGGAGAGATAGACTAATGTTTCCTGCATCTCCTTCTCTATTACTAAGGATTAATAAATTAAAGCAACAGATCTCCAATGTAACAGTCCTTTTTGGAGTGATTCAAGTAGGCATTGCATTTCTCTGTGCTACAAGGAAAAGATAAATGGATAAGATTTTAAACTCCAACATAATATCTAATCCCATCATTTTTTCACTGTATAAAAACTAGACAAAATCAAGAATCTTCATTTTGACTGATTCTGTGTTTCTGCAATACTTTCCCTATATATGTCTTAACAGTCATACTTTTGGGAAATGAGCCAGGCACATCCCCTTTGCTATATGGCTTCATGAGTTTCCTTCTATTTGACTTCAAAAGGACTTTCACAGATGTTTAAAGCACAAATGTTTTGCTTAATCAGATTTTTTCCCCTTATACCAACAAATTGCTATTAACACTCAAATACTGTCTCTTGATTTGCACAATTCAAAGCAAGTAAGGAGAGACACAAAATGGATCTGCCCACCTTTCAGATTTGTTCTGCTGAATGCAACATTCAATGATCTCTTTTACTTCTGGGTCTGTCACCTTATTAAAACTAGCAGGTTTAATGCCCTAGAAGAGAAGAGACATGGTCATTAACAAAATTACACAGAAGATTTCTCTTCTACAGTTGTGCAGAATTATGGAAAATTCCCAATGTTACAAATACAAGTCCTTTAAGCAGCCAATATAGTAGAAATAGTTTTAGCTATCACACACACATATATGTACATAAATTAAAACAAAACATTTCAGTCTGTCCTGAATCAATAGCTCCCTTTCTTTAAATACCAGGTATTATTTCTAAAATCAGATCTGACTGAAAAGGATCCAAATGAATGCAGTGCTCTGAATATTTTTGGAACATGAATCTTTGTTAATATGACATGACTTTCCTTATTTCTAAGTTGATGGCTTTTACTAATTCCTTCTGAAAAAGTATCATACATTTGGTTTTTAAAACTGAATTTAACTCTACATGGGAGTGGGGGATATGCATGTATACACATATTGTCCTTTCAGAAGAGATAAATATGCATTATTATTTGAGAGTACATTGCCTTTGCCTATCAAATATTGGAAATGTAAAAAAAAAAAAAAACCCGCCCATTGTACAGATGAGTAGTTATTCCAGTGTAATGGTATAATACACAGTCTCCAACCTTTTTGGCACCAGGGATTGGTTTTGAAAGAAAAAAATTCTTCCATGGATTGGGGTGGGATGGTTTCAGGCACATGCACAGATGAAGCTTTGCTTGCTCACCCACTGTAACAATCCGCTGCTTGGGGATTGGGGACCTCTGATCATCCCTTTTTGGAAATAGTTACATATGTACTTCTCACATACGTAAAATATATTTATGAAATAAAGCAAGGCATTTGTTTCAAAAGAATTCAAAAGTCATTAACAGCAGCAGAGTTAGGAAAAAAGTATTCTAACCTGTAGGATACAATCTACCAGGAGGGGTTTTTTTTTTGTAGGTCATACTGAAATAAATTATTGCAGGACAATGCAACCTGTATAGGAGACTGTCTTAGCAGAGTGCACAAGACAATGTCTGTTAATAGAATTTTCCTGAAAGTGTTTCTTTTAGAAACCCAGCTGGGAAATATCATAAGATGTAATAAATAAAACCAACATAGAGGAACAACTTCAGCAAAAATAGGCAGAATCCTACTGGTTTTATAATAACTGCCTTGTCCAGTTTCCTAACTTCTATTTTGTACATTTTGATTACTATACCAGCGAAATAAGATGTACACAATAGTCAGAGAAGAAAGGACTATGAAGCCTGAAACAAAGCCCTTGGTTATTACTCAAGATCTCTTTATGAAAGAATCTGTGCCAGCTGGCAAAAGAACAAGCAGAGAGCTGTTGGGTTAGTTGTTGATTCAATAGTGACTTTAGGAAGGCAGTTGGTAAACTTTCAGAAAAGGGAGCAACAATGATTGGTGCTCAGACAAAAGCTGGTTAGAAATGTGCTTTGCTTCTGTTCCATTTTGGCTTAGGACAGTAAATTAAAAAAAAAAAGTTTAACTTGCACATTCTGCCACTTGAGTATCAAATACCAATTTGTATTTTTTTCAGGGAGTGAAACAACGGAAAAGATTACTCTACAATAAATTAACAAAATCTAGAAAAATCTAGAAAATACTAGAATAAGTCTGGTAGTTGCTTTGCATGACAATAGGTTTAGCTAACACAGGTTTAGCCCAATAGGCTTATTTGCTTTAGGCCCATCTTATACAGATTTGTTCTCTTGAAGAAGTTAATTGTACACCTACACTGGTTACTTTTCTGTAGATCTGAGCTGCATTCTGACATTCAGAATATGGGTATTCAGAAGTTGCCATCTCTAACATGCACATTCCAAAAGCATAGACATCCACCGACTCATCATAATGTTCTTCATACATCTCAGGAGCCATGAATTCAGGAGTTCCTGAAATAAAAGATGAGAAAGACCAATTTGTTATTAGAGCTAAATTGTGGTCACTCAATGAATATTTCCCAAGAGCTGCTTATTTCTATGTTGTAATATTCAATATATTAATAAGGAATTCATTCTCCAAGCATAGATTCTTACCTACAAGCAAACAGGAAGTAGCACTTGCTGAAGCAGGATATCTATCTATCTATCTATCTATCTATCTATCTATCTATCTATCTATCTATCTATCTATCTATCTATCNTATCTATCTATCTATCTATCTATCTATCTATCTATCTATCTATCTATCTATCTATCTATCATCTATCTATCTATCTATTTATCTATCTATCTATCATCTATCTTTGTTTTAAAGAAAAGTATTTCAGAGGGGGGGAAATCCAAACAGTCCAATTAAGACTGAGTGTGCCTAGTGGTTACTCTATGCTAATCTTCTATATTAGACATGGGGGAGAAATTTTTTATATACTTTTTATATACTTTATGTTCTGACTGCAGATTAAAAGCATTAACACCATATTTCCCGCTGCTTGATGTCTTTTTTTATCTTTTGACATCTTTTGACTTTGGGATATTCTAATAACTATATAGTGTAAAGCAACTTTGACTTATGGCATTGCAGATTCCTGTCTTTATTGATGCCAAAGAGACATGGCACAAGTAGTGGCCCCATAGAAATACCAAACACATTTACGGTATATTCACCAATAACACTCTTCGCAAATGAAGTGCGCATTAAGGTGGCAAGTCCCAAGTCCCCTATCTTCACTGAACCAGTAGGTCCTGTGATGAAGATGTTGTCACATTTCAAATCACGATGGATGATAGGAGGAGTCCTTGTGTGCAGAAAATGTAGCCCTTTTAAAATCTGTCGGCACCAGCTCCTCAACACCTTTGGCTTCATGAGTTTGAAACGCTTTAAATATCTGTAAAGAAATGAGTATGATTGGAGAAAGCCAAACAGCATTTATGCATTAAATCAATACCGACATAGTTTTAAGTTAGTCAAAATGCCATGTACCATGATCAACCCTCAGAGGTTCCATAAAATGTTACACTCTCTTATCTCAGGAACTTCATAGTCCTCAGTTGTATTCCAACTTATCATTATTAAACTAGTTTAGCTTTCCTAAGCTAAACAGAGAAACATAATACCATGGGTGAGCAAAAAAACAATGGGAGCAGGAGTTACTTCTAGCTTCCTTTTGGCTTCCCTATCAACTTTCCTTGTGAGAAGCTGGCAGAGAGCATTGGAAATGACGATCATGTGATTACGCCTGACCGCAGCAGTGTGGCAGTGCTGAAAAGGCCACAACTTTGCCAAATTTCAATCACAGCAGTAACGGAATCCAGGTTTGGATGGATTTTTCAAAGTTAGTCCATTGGAGGTATGTTAATTCAAATATTGTTGCCTACGATGCCCTGTTTTACCTAATTGAAAGTTACAAGCATACAGGAGAGTTTTAGTAGTATATAGATCGAGACAAAGAGAAAAGAAATATCTTATTACAGTTTTTTCCCCTAAAACTACGGCAGTACAAATTATAGCACAATCCATGCAGCTTTACAGATTTCAAAAAAAGGTGAGTTGATTTATCTGCTTAATACTTTGTCATGAGCTATGCAGTTCATAGGAAAGACCCAATACACAACTTAATGTTTGATCATGACAATTCTCCTACAGTAGTTATAAATATATCTTCTTCACAAAGAAAACCAATAGTGCTAGTAGATACTCTAAATACACCAAATGCAGGAATGAAAGTATTTGACATTTTAATATTTCTTATTTATTTTATTTCTTACTGAATATTCTTATATTCAGGAAATAATCAATTCATTTTTACTAATATTTGGGTAAAAAGAAGAAAAACCAAGAAACAAAAGACAACATTTCATGGCATAAATTTTATCTAATTTGTAATACTCCTTTATAACGAATTATTACTTACTCAATGGGCTTCTGCACTTGCAATATAATCATCCTACTAAATCTTAATCCTTTCTTGACCATAACCACTCCATTGAAATCACTTATGAATCATTTAGATGCAATGAATATAAGCATAACACAGCAAATTAAAAACACATTAAGACATAAATCAGCTTGAAAACAGTAATTCTAGAAACACCGAAGCATTTAAAAATATATATATTTCATCTTCAACACTGCCATGAAATACTGTTCAAGTGATTTCTCTGCTTTTTCCTAATGCTCCCATCCATCCCTCCTGTCTTGCTAACTGAACCAATCATAAAATGGTAGTGCTAGTTCATAATTTATCACACTCCATTATTGTTTTATTTATTCCATTCACCACATAAGGTAGGCTTAAAATATATCAAATTAAGTCTTATAATTTATTGGAAATGATTATTGACTGACTCATACCGTATTTAAACATAATGCTTCTTAACTCACTGTACTTCCATGAAACAGATTTTATATAAGCTAGATAGCAAGCAACTACAATTCAGTCAGCTGGATACTTTTATATATTTTAGAAGCACCATAAAGCGTCTTAATTGTTTGCTGCATGTTGTAGATACTGAGCTGGATAACTCATAATTCAACAGCAATATAGTTAGTGTCCAAAACAATACTGGCAATTGTGAACAACATTCAAAAAAGATTATGCAAATACTTATTCTGTTAATGAGAAAATCAGGAAATACATACGTTTTCAGTGTTCCAGATGTCATCAGTTCAGTTACCAATACAATACACTTCTTTCCTTTAACAGTTGATTCCCAAGAATCATAAAATCGGACAATGTTGGGGTGTTGTAGCCCCTTCAGCATTTCAGCTTCTTCTTTAAACCTTTGCTGTTCTGCTTTGGTCAGCTTCCTGTCCTAAAAATATGAAAAGGTGTATCATAATCATTAAGTTATCTACAGCTACAGTAACACTTCTACTACTAATATTTTATCAATATTATGGCAGCATTTAGAAGCAGGCCATATAACAACTTTACTTTTCTGTTTTAAACACAGTCTGAAGAAGACCAAATACTTGTGATATATTAAACAAACCAATAAACAACTGTGATATTTAAATTAACATTTAAATGGAAGAAGACAAAAAAGTAAACATCTAAAAAGTTGCAACATGAACAAAGCAATTTACTAATTTGCTCATTTTTCTTCCTTTCCTTTTCTCCTACATCCCCACCACCACCTGCAAATAACCAATATTAGCAATCCACTCCATTAAACAATACAGTTTCATGTTCTCAGTATTGCAAGTAATTATTCAGGCCATTTTCCACACATGAAAGCTTGTTAAACTATATCTCCCAAATTACAGAGCACTCTAGTATGGGTAGCTACATATTCGTTAAATCTAGTTTATGCCACAGGTCATAATCTGACAAATTTTAAGCAGGGTTGTGTAGAGTTGTCCTGTGTGAGACAAGGCTAGTACGAATGTCTCTGTAATACAGGTCATCCTCAACTTACAACCATTCATTTAGTGACCATTCAAAATTACAACAGCACTGAAAAAAATTAACTTAGAATTGTTTTTTACATGATCACTGCAGCATGATCAAATTTCAGACGCTTGGCAACTGACTCATAGTTATGACATTTGCAGTATCCCGGGGTCATGTGATCAACTTTTGTGACATTCTGACAAACAAAGTCAATAGAGAAGCTAAATCCACTTAACAACCAAGTTACTAAATTAATAACTGCAGAGATTCAAGAAAGAAGAAAGTCATAACATGGGACAAAACATAACAAGACATTTAACAACTGTCTTGTTTAACAATGTAAATTTTGGGCTCAATTGTGGTTGTATGTCAAGGACTACCTGTGCAGGTCTGAAAATATACTGTGTTGTTTCTGTGTATCCAGAGTCATAGGGGCATTGTCTTTCCAGAGAAGAAATCTTCCTGTATCAGTCTTCAAGAATTGTAATGGAATGTATGAATAACTTTGGAGGAAAAGGGAGACTGAAGCTGCCTAGACAGCAGTCAGACAAGAGAGGCAGGAGCCAGCAATCAATCAACTGTCAAAGAAAGAAATTTAGGAAGGACTTAAACTAGTGGATGAAGCAGTAAAAACTAGAGGCGGGAAGTTTGTGCCTTCAGATTTACAAGATTCTGTTAATATAGTCTTACAATTAAATAGAATTAGTTCATCTTGTCATGTTTCCTGTCTGGTTTACCTGGGAGGATAAGCTGCCAGCACTGCCACATTCTGGACCAACTGTAGCTTTCAAATACACTTAATGAGTAGATACATTTAGAACATGTTGCAAAATTCAAATGAGATGACCAGGGTATGACTGAGCAGGGTCTCGTGATCCAGAAAAGGGCACAGTTGACACACAACACAAAGTTTAGATACTTTACGTTTAGTTAGGTGCCATAAAGGAGGCAGAGTACCTGTTTGAATTCAACAGCAAATAAAGACTGGGTCTTGGCTAAATCCAATGTGGGCTCTATTTCAGCTACATGCTGTTTAATGAGTGCTTTGGCCTGATCATATCCCATGCTGAGCAGAAGACCTAGAGAGAAGCCCATGGATGAGCTTTCAGTTGCCACTTAGTGTTTCCCTACACAATGAAAATCATCACTTGTGGGGCAAGGCCAAAGCAAAAAAAGCATAGTCTGAGCCAATACTTCAGCATGATCATCCACACTCTACTCTCACTTTCATGAAGCCTGGCTCTAGTCACTGATGGCATTATAAACACATTTTGGAACTTGATGAACTGATCTTAGAAATTTGGATTGTAAAAGTTGCAGTACACAGTTGGAGAAGGGGCTCTGCTAGGTGCCATAAAGTTGTGCTATCAGCTTGGTTTCCCTATTATTTGAGTGTTACAGATATAGAATAGCCAGCTCTTGTCTTTAGGAATTTAAGAATGGCAAATGAGTACATTTTCAGCAATGTAGCCCCCATAGGTTTTCCTTTTCTGGTAGGATTTGGATGGAAGATCACCACTGAAGTCCACAGTTGTCAATTAGATTGGAACACTAGAGGCCCCTCCTGAAGAAACCGTCCTTGGATCCAGCAGTTCTTAATAACTATCGTCCAGTCTCCAACCTCCCCTTTGTGGGGAAGGTTGTTGAGAAGGTGGTGGCCTTACAGCTTCAGCGTACCTTGGAGGAAGCTAACTATCTTGACCCCTTCCAGTCTGGCTTCAGGCCCGGTTACAGCACTGAAACCGCTTTGGTCGCATTGACCGATGATCTCTGGAGAGCCAGAGATGGAGGCTATGCGTCCATCCTGGTTCTCCTTGACCTCTCAGCGGCTTTCGATACCATCGACCATGGTATCCTTCTGCGACGACTGCGGGAGGTGGGGGTGGGCGGCACTGTTTTACAGTGGTTCTCCTCCTACCTCTCGGACAGGTCGCAGTCGGTGTTGGTGGGGAGGGAGAGATCGTCCCCGAGGCCCCTAACCTATGGGGTGCCGCAGGGCTCGGTTCTGTCCCCCCTGCTATTTAACATATACATGAAACCGCTGGGCGAGATCATTCGGAGGCACGGGATTAAGTACCACCAATATGCGGACGATACGCAGTTGTATCTGTCCGCCCCGTGCCAACTCAATGAAGCGGTGGACGTGATGAACCGGGGCCTTGAGGCTGTTAAAGACTGGATGAGAGCTAACAAACTGGTGCTCAACCCGGAAAAGACCGAGTGGCTGTTGTGTTTTCCTCCCAAAAATTCGGCTAACGTTCCATCAATCAGGCTGGGGGGGCAAAATTTATACCCCTCAGACAGGGTCCGCAACTTGGGAGTCCTCCTGGATCCACAGCTGAGTTTTGACCACCATTTGTCGGCTGTGACCAGGGGGGCATTTGCCCAGGTTCGCCTGGTGCGCCAGTTGCGGCCCTACCTGAACCGGGAGGCTCTCACAACAGTCACTCGAGCCCTTGTGATCTCTAGGCTGGAATACTGCAATGTGCTCTACATGGGGCTGCCCTTGAAGAGCATCCGGCGACTTCAGCTAGTTCAGAACGCGGCCGCGCGAGTGATCATGGGCGCACCACGGTTCGCCCATATAACACCGATCCTCCGTGAGCTGCGCTGGCTACCTGTTGATCGTCGGGTGCACTTCAAGGTCTTACTTACCACCTATAAAGCGCTCCATGGTAGTGGATCTGGCTATCTGAGAGACCGCCTCCTGCCAATTACCTCCCTGCGTCCCATCAGATCGCACAGAGTAGGCCTCCTCCGAATTCCATCCGCCAGTCAGTGCCGACTGGCAACTACGCGGAGGAGAGCCTTCTCAGTTGCAGCTCCGACACTATGGAACAACCTCCCCGTGGAGATCCGTACCCTCACCACAGTCCAGGCCTTCCGCACAGCCCTCAAGATCTGGCTATCCCGTCAGGCCTGGGGATAGGATTATTCTCACCCCGCCCGAATGTTGAGTGAATGTTGTGTTTTTATGGTTAATTTCTTTTATTCACGTTTCTTTTTCTTTCTTTCTTTTCTTTTTCTTTTAAGTCTTGTTTTGCACTCCCTTCCCCCCATTGTTGTAAGCCGCCCTGAGTCCCCTCAGGGAAAAGGGCGGCATATAAATGTTTATAATTTTTTTAAAAAAAAACACTGTTTAAAAAAAAAGCCAGAAGACTGCAGTGGCCAATACTTTTTACACTCTTGCCAAGAAGACAGCATGGATGTGTTCATGAAGTCACCAGGAGCTAAATCTGATTCAAAATAATGAATGTGTGAATGTAAGTTAAGACTCCTAATGCCTCTGCATTAATGCACAGTATAAATTCGATAACACATCTAGCAAAACCAGAAAATGTGTATGAAAAGGAAATTAGCAATGATCAGATGGATAGCTTTGGTAGCAACCCACCATGACTATGTCTCTGGTACCTTAGTAACATCCGAGCTTCTTGTCTCTTTATTTGCGACAAACCCCTTTTCTCCAGTTTTGATGCATAAAAGTACCACATAAAACATTCATTACAAATAAATAAATTGACCACATTTTAAGAAGCTTCAATAGATGGAAACAAGCTTTTCTTCCCCCCAAATACTTTGCCAATGTCATCTTGCCCTATTTTGTCTGTTTTGTGGATTTTCTGACTTGTATATAAGTTTCTTATTGAGACAATAAGATGTTCTGGGATTCCCATTTTTCTAAGCACATTCCACAGTGTGACACAATCAACACAACTGAAGGGCTTTCTACAATCAATGAAGCACATGCTAACTTTTTTTTAAAAATTGTTTGGCTTTCTCAATTATGCAGCACGCATCATCAATAGTGTCTCATGTTCCTTGGCATGAAGCCAGCTTGGACATCTGCTATCTCTTTTTCCATGTAAGATTCTAACATGGAAATCCTGTGCTAGCTGAAGCTTCCAAATGGTCTTCAAGGGCACATTGCATCAGTTCAACTGGGAGGGCATTAATAAGTCTGAGCAGGATCTTCTAATTCAGGAATGGGCACAACTGATACATGATCTGTAGTCGTGCAAAGAACTTCTTAGCCATGACTGTTACTTGCTCCTCAAACAGGAGCCTTGAGCCTTCAAAGGACATTAATTCCAAATGGCCACCAGAACTTTTGTAACACTATGCAGCAGAACCTCAGGAACAACCCCCAAATTCACTCTGAACCTCAACTGGATCCATTAATCACCTAGGGCAGACCAATCTATAGATCCAATCTCAGGGAGAAACTAGGTTCTCTCCCAGATTCAGATCAATAGTCAGTTTGATTTTTATGTTTCCTGTAAAGCAGTATTAGCAATTAGGCATCAAAAAAACTTTAATTTAACTACATAATAAACATCATTACTACTTTAAAAGATCCTCAGCTCTTCCACAGTAATATGTTAAGTACCAATCACCTTGAGCAGTCCATTGTCCCAT